GGGTATTGCCATCAACATCATCGACAAGCTGCTTAACTACACCATCCTCACCCCACTCTCCGTCCTCGAATGGGCCCTCTCCGAGTCCGTCGCGGCAGGAACCATCCTCTCAAAGCCCCATGTCTTCGAGATGATCTCCGCCACCGTCGGCAAGGTCACTAACCGCATGCGCCAGATCGTCACCGCCCGCGCTCAGCCCGGACTCTACGAGCCCCAGCTTAGCGTCATCGACGAGACCCTCGTTCGTGAGCGCATAGATATGCAAGCCCTTTTCAAGTACATCGAGGACTCCGTTGTCTCCATCGCTGCTGGGAGCAACGACCAACAGATGGAGCGCGGTGATGGCAGCGGCACTCTGCCCGAGGACGCCATCATCCGTCAATGGGGCCGTCGCTGGCTCCGCGTGTTCCGGAGAAAGGCTGCCGTCGAGGACTCTTTCATCTCTGATGCCCTGGCTAACGCTACTCCACTTGGCACCCAGGCCCCGGCTCTTTCTGGGCGGGAGGGTGCTACGGATGGAGATTTGGATATCGCCGATGCCGATGTGCCATAGAGCTGTCAGATATATGGATGCCATCTCGATCAGTTATCGGCCTTTGCATGCTGCGTTCTCGCATTGATCTCTTTGAATCGTTTCATTAAATGACTTATGTCCCGGAGAGCCTTTCTTTTCCTTTTCTGCCTTCTTTTCTATCCTTTCCTCTGTATTGTACTTTAACGCCGGGTCTTCGAATGAAGCCGACAGAAATATGAAAATCTCTCTCCAATTCCTTTCGAATCCTATTGATCTGGGCCTTGCCCACCTACGTAGGTTGTACAGAACTGAAAAGAAAAAGAAACATTCCCCAAGAACCTGTTGATTCAACCGCACAACCCTAGCATGGGGATATCCCAAGTCCAAATACATATGAAAAGTCCTCGTGAATCGTGTGCATCTTGATAAACCTTAAAAGGAAAAAACATTTGGAAGAAAGAGAAATAGAAAAAGTGTAAGGAAAGATACCCAACCGGAAGTTGGATCCCCTTGGCCCAGAAGAAAACGAAATGGGAATTCACAATGGGAATCGCAGGGGAATCAGCAAGAAACAAGACCGTGGATATCAAAAAGGGGCCTTTAGCCCAATACAAAGTAATATAAAGAGAAGAAAGAAGAAAAACAGTCCCGAGACCAAACCCAATCAAGGCCCATGAACATGAACATGACCGTGACCATGCCCATGAGCCCTGCGATCAATATAATAAGGCTCCCCATCATCGCCATCACTGCTAGAAGCATTATAAACGGAGAAACCATCCTCAAAGCTCCCACGGCGCATCTCCATCTGCATCTGCATCTTCGAAACGCCCTCTTCAGACTCAACAGACTGTATTCGACCCATGGAGTCACAGCTACTCTGCGCATCAGACCGTTTCGTCGTCGAGATCCGCCGGTCCTTGCCACGCCCTTTGATGCCCTTGTTGCTGTTTTTGTATAGCCCGGCGAAATATATCCACAGCTCGCGGTCTGCCGCGTTCATCTTCATGGGTCCGTTCTCGCCCATTTGCGAGAAGCGGAGGGTTAAGTTGTGAAGTGTTGCTGCATGGAATTTGTTTTGGTGGGACTGTTTTTGGGTAAGGGTCCAGTTAGCTTGAATTGATTCAAACGATGGAGTATGGAAGTGCTGGTGTTATCATAGTAGAGGGGTAAGGAGGGGAGGACAAGGACTTACCTTGAGGTTGCCTAATTGAGTGAACTGCTTGCCACATTCATCTAGACGGCAGTCAAACCGTTTCGATTGATCATGGGTGAGCTTGTGAGCGCGGACGTTGCCTCGCTGAGCGAATCGCTTGTGGCAGATTTCACATTGGAAGGGCTTTTCGCCCGTGTGTCGCCGCTGATGGGTCTAGGTTTTAGTACACATGTTAGTGTCTGCCTCGTGCGTCATAGTCACATGGAGCCGCAGCTGGCGATGTGCTTACTTTGAGGTTGCCTTGCTGCGAGAAGCGTTGTCCGCATGAGGGCTCCTTGCATATCTGCCACACCCAAAACGATTAGTTGCTGATCCTAACACCAAATTCTGTTTAGGGAGAATTATGGGTGTACTCACAAATGGCTTGTCACCAGTGTGCGCCCTGATGTGAATGTCCAGGTGTGTTTTCTGCGCGAAGCTTTTGCCGCAGCCTGGGAGGCTGCAGTTGTACTTGCGCTTCTTGCCTGATCGCGATAGTTGGCCTTCGTTGACATGGTAGGAACGCGGTGGCGTGGGCGAGGCAGTCTGGTAAGATACGGGATAGGCCTGTGGTGCCGGTGCTGCCAGATTTTGGAGTGGTGGCAGCGATTGCTGGGGCGGCGACGAAGCATGCTTGGCCTGGATTGCCTTCATCAGGACATCGACGTTGGTTGAGAAGGCGACGTCAGTGGGGGTTTGCTTCGTCTCGTTTGTTGCCCCGACTGGTGATCTGTGGCCTCCAGTCGAAAGCTGCACCCGTGAACCATGGTCGGGAGTAGACTTTACTGTCTGGCTGATGGCATTCTTTGCTGGGCGAATCTCTGGAAGAGACTGCAACGGCTGTTCCGTTGTGAGGCGTAGTGGTTGCGGCTGTATCGGATGCTGACTAGGGACAAAGTATTGCTGATAGGGATTCGAGTGTGCATGTGTGTTACCCACGGAGTGACCGAAGCTGTAAGGCAAGATACTTGGGTTCTGGTAAGGCAACGGGTATGATGCTGTTTGATGCGAATAGAAGGGAAAGTTCTGGCTCAGGGTCGAGTCCATTGGGCGTCTGTGTGCAAACGCACCAACGGCATGGCCGGGGAACGCGTAAGAGACGGGCTCTGCAGTCTCCATCTTTGTCACTGTTGGAGGTCTTCCTTTCAGTATCTTTCAGAAAGGTAAGGATACCTTCTCCCTCCGGATCTCCCACAAGATACCAATGTATCTCAATGTATACCTGTCCTCAGGATGTGCTGGGGGTGTTTTGTCTGTGTAGTCTTCGACTATGTTCTGAAACCCAATCCCCGGTGTTATTTGGGTTCTGGCTGGCAGCGAGTTGCTTTTCAAAAAAGAAGCAAGGATAGGGAAAATAGACAAACCGGCCGGCCAAAGCGCAATCGGTCTATAGATCTGGATCTATATATATGAAATGGAGGGGAAAGGAAATAGCAAATATATGCAGGTCATGCCATGAAGAGCGAGAAATATAATGATTGACAACTAGCGATGATCTTCCGCATCGACCGTGGCGCCTCCCGATCTAGATATACCAGGGCCCCAATGCAATGGCGGGGGCGACAGGGGGGAGTCAGCCGGTGAAAAGATAGTCGAAAGCCCCATTTCACCTGTATGACGTTTAGTAATTGACAAAAAAAATAATAATGGGGAAAAAGGGGGAGGAAGAGCAGTTCAAGCCCAGAGATACATGCAATGTACTCCGTACTGTGTATACCAAAGTGTTTGATTCGACGATCTCCGTGGGCCGGGGATCCTGGGCGATTGAGGCGACCTGACTGACTCCACCGAGGAAATAGAAAAAGAAAATTCAAATCAAATTGGGGACGAACTGCAGTTCCTGGGGGTTCCTAGAGCTCTGGGGGCCCTGGAGAGGCCTGGCCTTGCCCTGAAGGACTGGAGCATACAGGTGCATTGCATGGTCCATGAGGTGCATTGCTTTGGACGCATCAATTTCCTGTACCACGAGGAATAGTAATTCTCATTAGTGGTAATGTATTTCGACACATTCGGTGTGAAATGTGTGTCAGTCACACGGGGAAAAATATACTCGCAGCCGCGACTGGCGAGCCTTCAGCTCGAACTTCCCTTCTTCCCATACTTCCCCGTACTCTGTATACCTTTTGTATACTGATATTGCTGAAGAGACTGACATCTGTCAGACCCAAATCTTAAAAAAAAAGAAAGGAAACACGCTCATCGTGCTGTGCATCTCCCCTCGAGGAGAACGGGCCGGGCCTTCAAATCGCGGAATTCCCAAGTGGACCGTGATCGACCTGCAGTCGACATGTAGATTATTCAGTCGATCTCGGAGTCAGCAATCGCTCAATGGCCAGCTGGGCCGTAATTACGAGTACTAGGATGCGCCATCCCGATAGTCGCCAATAGTGTCCGATCTCAGCCCATCGAATATCCCAGTTAGCCGCCCAAGGCCCTGGAAAATTCAGTCGGGTGATCTGAATCTCCTGTTGGGGAACCAATCAAATTGTTTCTGTGACATCCAGTGCGATCTGTCTTTCTTCTCTCTTTTGGGGCAAGTGGGCATCGATTTTAGCCCCCCAATAGGAGGCAACACGGGCTTTGCTCTGGTCGCGATGTACTCTGCCCCCCTTAAACTGCACCAAATGGCTTGGCTCATGGAGCGATGTCGATCATGGCCACTCACGGCCTAAGCTCCATGGGGACGATCCGAGAAGTGACAGCCATGGCCATCTGACACGAGTGGTAACCCTGCACGTCCTGCGTCGAGATGAGGTATCGGGACTCGAGAGTGGTTCCTGCAGGGATGCGACTAGTCTTCACGAACTACTTCCTGAATAGACGAAGGCACGTAGACTATGCATAGGCCGCGTTAAGCCTAGGTCGGTAGGTGTTTTGATGAGATTTGGATCAGCATGTACATCTCCGTAGGAGATTGGAGGTGTATATTACCAACCTCTCCACAAAGTACTCAAATCCCAAGTATTCAAAGTATTCCGAGTATTCCAAGTATTCCAAGTATTCAAAAAGTCGGAGGCTCTGTGGTGATTCAGACGGACAGGGATGGTGTTGTTGGGAGATTCAGCTTGTTCCAGAACGCCCGTGTGACCTTTCAACGCCTACAACATCACATACACATACACGTAACAATATACCAGATGTAGAGAATGGCAATTTTTGGAATTGAAAAGGGAATTCAAGTATACACTAAGGTGTATAAAGTAAAAAAAAATAGAAACAAAATTCTGCATAAATAAAGCCCGTAACCAAAGCAAAAAAAAACATCATAATGCGCCCAAAGGATCAACCCTTTCATCGTCCAGTGTACGCCGAGTATCTAGAAAAAGTCAGCTTATGATCTCAAACACAGTCAGGAAAAAGAAAACTCACCTCCAGATTCGTGCACGCATGTCTCCACTGCCGGTCGCGAACAGGTTGCCAGTAGGACTGGGCGCAACCGAGATGACTATTCGGAGTCAGAAGAGTTAGATGACAATGCAAGGTAAGATTGAATGAAACTTACCAGAGTTCTTGTGGCCTTGAAGCATCATCTGGGCATTTCCAGTCACCGGGTCCCAGAACTGAACACCACGGTCCTTGGAACCACTCATCACCCAGGCACCGTCGGGTGTCAGGCACACACTGAGAACAAAGTCCTATATTGTAATCAAAAAGTCAGCTTCTGTCTGTCTCTCTCAGAGGTAATCTCAGATCTAACCTTGTGGCCCTCGAATGTGCGAATACACTTGCCGCCCTTGATGGCACTGTGAGGGTGCATGCCCCGGGGAACGGTAAGCTCCCAGAGCTTGATAGTCTTGTCCAGACTGCCACTGACAAGGTCACGGCCATTGGGCGCGAACGCGACCGAGTAGACACTGTCCTTGTGGCCATCTGGGTTCTCCAGGCGCTCCACCAGGTATCCAGTGGTAGTGTCCCAGACGCGCACGCTCTTGTCCAACGAACCCGCAGCCACGTAACGGCCATCCGGAGACATGGCCACAGTAGTGACACCATCCTCAATGCTAAGGGTGTAGACAAGCTTGCCATCGAGAATATCCCAAAGGCGCACGGTCTTATCTCCACTGCCAGAGGCGATGAATCGACCATTGCCAGCAAAGTCCAAAGAGTAGATGTCTTGCTCGTGTCCACTGAAGATATGCTTGATGGTGCGCTGGTTGATATCCCAAACCTAGAGCCAATCACATTCAGTCAGCGACCTTCTCACATGCTGGTTCCATATAATCCGGAAACTTACCCGAATCTGCTTATCCTCAGCACCAGTCGCAAGATATTTGCCATCCGGACTGAAGCAAACACTGCGAATGTACAGGTCGCCGTCCTTATCGACGTTCTCATCCTGAAGAGTGGCCACATTCTGACCGGTGGTCACGTCGAAGATTTGAGCCGAGCGGTTGCAGCCCGTAGCCAAGTACTTGCCATCACGGCTGAAGCGCACACAGCAAACGACGCTATCGTGATTCAAGTGATGCACCAGCTCCACATCAAGTACACGCTGGACCTCAGGGTTGAACACGGCGTACCAATCGGAACCCTCGCGCTTCTGCGACGGAGGCAAATCATCGGGGTTCCAGTTTGCCAGCATGTTTCCCGGACGTTCAGCTGTGCGGCCGAGAGGGGGGTTCGGAGGAGTTGGGCGAGGGATCTGGGGGGATGCACGAGGATCCGGGTAGGCGATGTGCGTTTGCTGGGGAGTACCGGGGCCTGGGGGAACGCGGCCACGGCCCTTACCGGGACCTGGGGATGCAGTGGGAGGCGGAGGAGGCCCATAGCCTGGGGGTGAACGATCCAACGGGTCAGCGGACTGGGCGACGATTTTCATAAACACAACGACATACCGTTCACAGCAGCGCCAGCCGGGTATCCTCCAAAGGAGCTCTGCTGGGGTTGCGGCGCGCCAGGCTGAGCGACCGAAGCAGGCTGTTGAAGGGGATGCTGGGGAGGCTGCTGATCCTGGGGGAGGGAAGGTGCAAGACCGGGGCCACTACCTGGTGGGTTGGTCATGATACCGCCAAACAGATTGCTGGGGCCGTGGCCCAAGGCAGGTGGGGGAGCCTGGGCAGGAGCTGTATGAGCCGCAGCGGGTCCGCCGATATGGGAAGGGATGGTTTGCACTCCGCGCGACTCAAGTTCATGTCGCAGCATTCGAATCTCAGCTTCGTAGCTAAAAAGAGAGGATGCGATGTCAGTGAGGGTCAAGCTCTCGAGAAGTTAAAGGGACGAACTCTTGCTTGATTTTGATCTGCGCCTGTTCCAGTTGATAGACCTTCTGACGGATCATCTCCATCTCCTGGAGTTGACCAGTCACTGCATGATCTGTCAGTTAGATAACATTTCAGCGAATGTCGGACCCCATGGAGCTGCAGTCATCGGGAAAATGAACTGGCAGCTGCTTGTATGAAATGATTGGACAAGGGGAAGCTCGGGGCGCAAGTGGCCTGAGCATAAGAGAGGGGGAACAATATGTTGAAAGGGACAGGTAACATACACTGATGCTCAAATTCACCGGTGTTTCGCGACTGGCTCTCAAACTCCTGGCGCAGTTGATCCAGCAACTCCGTCAGACGGGAGTTGGGAGCGGGCACCATCCCGCGATGAGCGTTGTACATGATGGGATGATTTTTTTTCTTCCTGTTTTTCACAAGTCACAGGACAAAAGCGATGTTCAGATGACAGGTCTCGGTCAGCGAATGGGATCGCAACCAAGGTTTCGACCTGGACTCAATGATCTTGACCACTGAGGCTTCAATGCTTGGTGGATAGCACCACGCAGCTAGCCACAGCGATAGTGGGCGATACAATATAAACTGGGAGATGAAAATGGGGGTGTAGCGGTAAGAGGGGTGGAAGAGGCTGGCAGATGACACTTTAAAGCGGGAAGGTTTGAGTTTGGGGGGAAGGCGGCAGTGGTTGACGCGTGAAGCGAGGTGATAGGCGAGAAGCGCAGCGGGTCTTAGCGTAGACTACTTTTTTAACGTGCTACATGATACTCTGTATAACATGAAAGAAATATGTTCAAGTGGGTGGTGACAATTATATGAATACTATTTACAGAAAATGATACTAATAGGTCTAGGATTTTTGGTCCAAAGTACTCTTTATACAGGGTTAAATGCGTACATTGTACATCCATAGGGTCCAGATCGTGAGGTTCGCATGAAACCGGTAATATTCCAATGGCTGAAGACAACCGGAATACCAGGGAATACTCGGATCTACACCCGCAAGTGCGGGCAGTGGAGGTACCTCTGAGTACGGGAAGCTGAAGTGGAACTGGCCCGTGCAGTACCAATTAAGTGCTACCGTTACAGTATATTACATCCATGTACTTTTGTCATACTTCATATTGCCTGATCTAGCAGGCCACAAATAGCCACGAACCCAGGCATTAAGGCATAAAGGCATTAACTGTGGCAAACCAGGGGTTCTTTTTAAAGTTTCCCTTTTTTTTTTAGTACAACCTCGACGACCATGCCCACCCAGGTGAAGAAGGTATAGTGAACAAAAAAGAGAGATATAGAAAATAATAAAATATTTCGCTTTCATATACCATAACGCTGTCCACTCATATGATAACTATATATCCATATAGTAATTCCGCATCATACCATCCCCTGGATCAATTGGCTTATTAAGAAAAGGTGGCATCGCAACGGCTGTGGCGGTTCCGCGCTGGTGTGACTTTGTTAATTCACCGCGAATCTCCTTTTTTCGTTCCTTCAAGTACTTCCATTCTTCCCTTTCTCCTTCCCCACCTTATCTGTGCCCTTAATCATGGATATCGTTCTGGAACTATGGGACACCTTCATTGGTGATCGCCTCTATTCGACACTCCTCCCCGCCTCGCTCTCTTCGTCCGTCTCCCTGCCGGCCTTTGTCAATGCGGCCGCGAACACTTCAATGGCCCTTTTTGGTCCGGAACCTTTTGTCTATGAACAGGCTACAAAGCTGATTTACCTGGAACCCTCAAAATATGCATACCTGAGTGCTTGGCCCAGGAACAATATCTACCGTCAATTTACAAGCTTTTTCCTGATTACTTGGTAATGCGCCAATTCCTTCGAATCGCCACTTTTTCCACGTCACCACAATAACTAACACTCAATTAGGCTGTTTGGTCTGCTCGTCTACTTCTTGGTTGCAACGCTTTCATACATCTTTATCTGGGACAAGACAACCTACAAGCACCCCAAATTCCTCAAGAACCAGATTGGTCTGGAGATCAGACAGGCCATGGCAGCAATGCCCCCAATGTCCCTGTTGACAGCTCCTTTCTTCGTTCTTGAGGTCCGCGGATACGCCAAACTCTACGACACCACCGCCGAAGAGCCCTTCCCGTTCTACAGCTTCCTCCAAATCCCCTTCTTTATCTGCTTTACCGACTTCTTCATCTACTGGATCCACCGTGGCCTGCACCACCCCCGCGTCTACAAGACCCTGCACAAGCCTCACCACAAGTGGATCATGCCAAGCCCTTATGCCTCGCACGCCTTCCACCCGCTCGATGGCTGGTCCCAGAGTGTCCCGTACCACGTCTTCCCCTTCATCTTCCCTCTGCAGAAGGTCGCCTACGTTTTCCTGTTCGGCTTCATCAATCTTTGGACCGTCTTCATTCATGACGGCGAGTACGTCGCCAACAGCCCCATCGTGAACGGTGCCGCCTGCCACACCATGCATCACTTGTACTTCAACTACAACTATGGACAGTTTACCACTCTATGGGACCGTCTGGGTGGCAGCTACCGCAAGCCCAACGAAGAGCTTTTCCGCAGAGAGACGAAGATGGGCGACCAGGAGTGGAAGCGACAGGCCAAGGAGATGGAATCGATCCTCAAAGATGTCGAGGGCGAAGACGACCGCAGCTACTCCTCCGACAAGAAGAAGGACCTTTGAAACGACGGCATCACATTCTTCACGACTTCACAATGCTTATTTGGTTCTAGACTACAGGGATCCATCGAGGCTCATGACAGACTCCTCGATAGACGGGCTGTATATCTTCGCTTTTTTGGCCTGTGTTTTGGGTTTGGACTTTTGCATCTTCCTATTGTTTCCGATGCCATTTTTATGCTAATTCAAGTACATTAATTCGCCTTCTGCATTTCTTATCTGTTTTAATACTCCCAAAACTGACTGCCAGCCCTGCGGCCTGCTGGTCGACTGGTGGTGGTCTCCCCCATTCTGTACATAATGTTTTTCTTTCATGGGCGATCCAAATGCATTTGGTTATGTCTTGCTGTACATTTTTTTTCTTCTATGTGTTGGCAAGTCCATGTGGTCATCTTAAAGGCCGAAAATGGAAGCATATATAGGTATGATACTTTGAATCTATGAAACAAGAAATATTCGAAGTTATAAGAATGAAATTAATGTTAAGAATCACAATCTATATCCATATTCTGTTTCCATCGAGTACTCTAGCCCCGAATTCAGGCACTCCTTGGAAGAATCGCCGGCTGAAACCTAACAGACCAGAACCTGGTCTTCGCGAGGCAAAGACAATGATCGCTGCCACCTGTGGAAGCCTTCCGGTGATGAGCTGACACAGAGGAAAAGGCTCCTCTCCTCTCACGGAGGAGAATGATGGGCATCCTGTGCTCACTACTGAAGAGTGCGTATGATAACACCTCGCGATCCGTCAGTTGCATGGAACCCATTATCAGCCAAATCCTGCTCTCGACTCGGCCAGACCTCCGCACTGAACTGCCCAGATTCAGTAGAAGCAAGTCGCTTGTGGAGAGCAACCACTCGATTCGCCTGGTGAAAATCCCCACACTCCAGCACCGTGAGCTTGGCCTTCAACTTCAATGCTAGTGTGAGAATGTGGTGGTAGAATATATCCTCGGGCACGCAGTCTTCGACCCCAGGGTCCGAGTGCGGAGGCACAAGTGCCAGCTTGGGCTCAAAGCGCCGGACGCTGCGCGCAGTGGTGCCGTTGCGGAACTCCGTCTGGGATATGTAGGGCGGGTTGGAGATCAATAGATCACATCCACTTTCTTGGTATGGTGGTGAGGTATCGAATGCTCCGAAATTGGGGAGTTGGGTTTGAAGTATTGACTCTATGGACGATACTGAACTGTCGCTGCCATGTCCGAGAACATCGGCGCGATGGAAGCGGATGTCTGTGCCTGCGCTGCATGCCAACTGGCCTAATTGCAGGTTATGCTGGAGGTTCTCCTGGGCTAGGCCTAAAGCCGTAGAACTGATATCCACTCCTGCTATCTCCAGCTGCTGGAAATGAGGAGCAAGTAATGCATGCAGAAGAAGTGATATGCAACCTGTGCCGGTGCAAAGGTCAATGATGCGCAAGGGTCTCGCCTGGTTGGGAGACTTTGACTGGTCATTACGGTCCAGAGCTATTTGACGGACTAATCTGGCCGCTTGGTACGTATATGATTCAGTTTCTGGTCTGTGAAGGCTTATCAGCAAGATATATCGCTTTTTGAAAAAAATCTGATAGACAGACCTTGGGATCAAAACGCCTCTTCGGCAAAGGATTTCCAAGTCGCCGAATGGTTGATCCCCAAGGATATATTGGAGTGGATATCCTCTAGACCGCATCTGACACATCGATCTCAAGCGGCTTCTCCATCCTGCCTTTGATGAAAGAGACCGGCTATCGCGAACTGCCCGCTCGCGTAGCCACCGAAGTTCATTACGAGCAGAATCGACTGTGCGACATTCTTTGAGGAGTATAGGCAGAAGATGATTTTCCCTTTGGGCCTTTATAATGACAGAAAAGGGAATTCGGGGCATTGTGGGAATTCGAGTGGTCAGTCGAGGGACTTTGGTGCCAAGAGATTCCACCCGTTGATGCCAAGATATGTACGAATCATATAGAAAGAACATTAAGATCTAATGGTTTTGATCCGCAAATTGAAGATTGGTAATGGAAATCATGATGTCAATGTGTCTTAGCTAAGAGTGAAGATATCCCGAGGTCCCGAGGTCAGCTAGCTAGGTAAAAAAAGTATTTGAGAGAAGCATCCCTTCGATCAGAAAATCATGTTCATCTGGACAAAGCGTAGATGTCTGTAGACCAACTGCTTCACTCAACAGATAGCGACAGAATAGCTCCGCTGGTGCAGTCTCCTCTCGCTCGAAGCTCCACAGCTGTGAGAATTGTAGTGTGAGTCGATTCCCATCATAAGAGGCTTGGATGATTTGGCCGTGCTTAAACCCAGTGTATGAAATGAGTAAAAGCCAGTCATATATTAGTATATCCTGAAGCCATTATACCGGAGTAAGACTTACGGGATGTATGTTGGCTTTGTAGAATCGGCCACGAACCACTCGGGAGAGCATCATGTGTACAATAGCCCTCAGTTGTGAACAGTGAGGCATTGATCTTCGGCACTCGCATATCCATCCGACACGACTTCGATAATGCAGTATGGCTTCATGCGGTTGCCATTATCACAGGGCCGTTGAGCACTATGCACTCGCCAATGAATGTTGGATGCGAACAACCCCCACGGCAGGGGGTCACCCCTCTTGCACCCTTTTTCCCAGCTAGAAAATGTCAGTACTATTACCAAGTAGTATATTGACTATCCACATACTTAAAGTACTCGAGATTGGTGAGCGAAATAAGATAGAACCAGTGAGGAACATCCTCATCATTGGGATTCCTGCTTCGTAAATGGGCAAGATGCGAGTCAACATATGCGTAAACTTCCAGGGCATTGTCATAACACCCGTAACGAGTGGACTCTTCATAATATGCTTTGTGTGTGGACTATGCAATTGCGAGTTGCTCTTTCTCATCCGTAGAGGACTCTTTCGCTTCGTCTACAAAGTCATCCAATGTTGGTGAATTACCAAGCTCGACAATGTTCTCTGGGCTTCCGATTGGATATCTATGAAGAAAATTCTCTGGATGTGGCTGGAAGAAGCAAGGGTCGAATTGCAGTTGTCTACTTGGGAGGCTTCGAACCCGAGAAGTTGGAGGTCTTCGACAGTGAGAATATCGACTGGTAGTCCTTGAGTTTCAGGGAGAGGGAGTTGAGGACCTGGCCTTTATCTTGGCATCCGGCATCCTAGCAAGCTAGAAAGAGGGCGTAAATGATGAGAGGTGGCGATGAGAGGTGGTGAGGAGTGAGTTGACTCTCATTCACGCGTCATTTGACTACCTAAGACCTCGGGAATAGGGCGGGTTTCAAATAAGCTTTGGACTAACATATACGGAGAGAAGCATGATTGGGCGGAACAAGCGTTTATATTTAGATTGCCGTATTCCGAGGTCCTAACTTCTTTCTCGAGGTAAAATGTATGATAAGTGAAGGTGTAGATATCTACACAGAATCTATGGCGTAATGCAGCGACTTGTACCTAGGTAGCTTCTAACAGTGTAAAAGGAACAAGAGAGATTCACTCGGGCGAAGGAGCGAGGAGCCCACCCACACGTTGTATAAGGAAGGAGTGCACACCTTCGCACTTCTACTCTACAGAACCTGAATCCTCTACTTTCCACTTTCACACAACACAATTCGGACCACGTTTAGAAAAATTCACAATGTCTCGCGATATCAATGACAGAATTCCTAGGAACTTCGATTACTGGATTAACCGGGCCGTACAACTTAAGGTGGCGCACGTTCACCTGAGCGACCCTTCGACAATTAATTCAGCGTCGAAGATCACAAAGGAGGAGTTCATCACCATGAGGGCAATTTGGCCACCGCGCTTACCCATCAAGACATTCCCCTTCCCCAATAAGAATCAGGTAGAACTGAGAGAGGAAGCTAAAAGGTTTCTTAGTAAGTTCACTGCATTGCAGAGATTCCTTACACAAGTTAAAGGAAAGAAGGACCTCAGCGACCAGGAACTAGGTGCATTTGCTCTCGTTCTGGACTCCCTTCAACGGATCAATCTCTGCTATCCTCAGTCGAACAGCGACTCGACCTCGGTCATGGTACGAAGATCTTCCCGTAACCACGGTGAGCCTACGTACGGTTGATGAATAAATCGTAACGATGCGTTACTACAATACCTGAAAGCCGTCACACTTTCGATCCCTGACTTGAAGTGCAGATGGTCTTCCGCTCGTTCTCCGTTTGGTGAAGTGGACTTCGGCGAGAACGAGATGACCGCACGTGTTGGTGGATACCTGGAAGGAATTGGCGTGAACGACGTCTTCGCGATTACCGAGGTGAAACCTCGAATTCGAGACTGGATGAACAATCCTTCACTCTCCTGGCAAGAGACAGCGGAAATGGTCGCCTGGCTAATGTATGAATCCCAGAATCCTAGGGAGTCACGCAGTCGCCTTTGAGGTAAGCCCAGCCATTACAATACCGGAGGAATTTTTTCTAACGATTTCTTAGACGTCTGTTAATTTCGCAGGATCACCACAAGATATACTTGACAATCGGTACAGCTGAACGAGGCTATAGGGACTGGCTGGAAAAAAAGAATAGGAATTCGTTTCCTCCCGTGCTAAGTCCCACCGACCCAGCGAGGTATAATCGTTACCAACCTAACTTTGCTGCCCTGACGCTACAGGAGTTCGGTCCATTTGTTACCAGCAACGCCGACCATATGGAAGAATTGGCAATAATTATTGTTTGCTTAGCTATGACGGTCACTAGCGACATTAATGATGCCAAGGAAAGTCATCGACCGGATGAATGCTAGTGCACTCCATTGCGCTACAAAGATCTCTCGATATTACCAAGTGCAGTTCGCCTTCATAGGTGCTCCTTGACTACAAGTGCAGTTCGCCTCCATCGACGCTCCTTGCTCCTTTTTTTGGGGCATCGTTTCTGGTTGCAAATACCAGTGACGGTGCTCTCCAGCAGTTACTAGCTTGGGCCTCTTCGTGGCACTGCTGACTAGTAACCCCTCTATGACTGGCGGGGTGAAGCTAACACAAGCTCAAACCAGAACTACCATCCTCACAGGTGCTTCAAGGTATTTATTAAGGAATCCACACCCCTCTAGCAAAGCTAAAAGAGAGTGGCACAGGTCTCCTTCCTATGTCTATCCGTGCTCTGTCCCAACAGCTCAAGAAGCCAGCGAAACCGAAGCAAAAATCACCATGTTTCCCGCTTCAGATGCCCGCGTGTCTAAGACAGACGACGGAGGTTCTTTCATTCCGAAATAAATAGTGTGCGAACTGCGATATGCAAGACCCAGCCCAACAGCAACACTGTCGTCCTAGAATTCCCACAGCAATACTAAACCGGTTCCCATGCGCCGAGATGACACCATGAGCGAATTAGCGATGCGGATACATACCTCACCCAATCTGGTGCGTAAAACCTTCCGACCTGAGTCTGGCCAAAGCTGAGCTTCTTCTTCAGCTCCTGGAGCAATCCAGGTAATTTGGAAGCACCTTGGAAGACTGAAGGGAGATGCTCGAAATCGAAGGCGAACCAGGACAAGAACCCACCCAAGGACCTTCTCTCTGTACGTAGACACCACTGGTGACATCGAGGATGAAGAAACGGATGCAAAGTGATATCGGGAGACCCCTCATAAACAGGAAAAGTCATTTGTACATTTAACCCTTTTTATGCTTTTTACGCCTTTCATCTTTCTGAGGGGGAAAGTTCCAAGGCATAATATGTGTCTGGTAGACAACTCGTATATGTACATACATACCCGTGGACACACTTTCACGGAGTTTGGAGACACTTTCCAATCAAACTCACCCTAAAAAAAAGAAAATGTCGTACTGCACGTGGATGATGAAACAATCATTCATACGGCGGATGTATGGTAGGCCTGTTCGGGATCCGATTGCAGTGCCCATTACTAAACCAGGCCCAGGCGCTCAGCCTGTGGGCTATAGTCTTACAAGTAATTTTTCAGTCAAAGCTGGGAAAGTGAATTTCATCAAGTCCTCGATGGTCTAACGGTCATGATTTCCGCTTGTCATTACAATAGTAATTCAAGCGCGGGAGACCTGGGTTCGACTCCCAGTCGGGGAGATCTTTCTCTTCTTTTTTGAATTTTCTATCTCGCCTGTCAATATGTTCCGTATGGCCCTTGCAAGTGCCAGTCATTCCAAGTGTAAAATTGCTCCGATTTCATCACCAGCTACGGCCGGCGACCCCATTTGAGACTCGGCGATTAAGCTGTTGATATCTACTAGAGACGTTTTGAAACGTATATGAACTCGTTAGTTAACTATTAACCATTTACTAATTTCTGCCTAGCGGAATCCCAATTAGGCAGGTAGGGCTTAGGTCTAATTCCCTTTTTTTAAAACCCTGCTTACTGACATGTAAAGGTGCTGTTTCCCGCTAATAATCTCAACTGGTACTAGCTGCATAGTCAGGATATCAAGATTTTCAACCCAATAGGTGAGGGGGCCCAGGCCTGGGCCTGGGTGCTTGGTGCCGGGGTAGGTGAGGGAGCAAAGGTGTAGAAGCCCGGGGCCATATAGGTAAGCCTGGGGGTAGGTGAGGGTGACCATAGAAAGGTTGCTTTGGAGTCGGGAATTGAGATCACACACAGTATCAGGTTCATTAAGAGCGACTAATGTGGCATCTAAACGCATATTAAGGGTTGGAATGTGCACATTTAGACATAAAAAATAGAGGAATTGGGTGTAGAAATCATATAGAAATGAGATACGAGGTAGCAGGGTCAAATGTTTGCTAATCAAAATTACATGTAGTATTGGCTATGCCTAATTAGAGCTAATCTAGAAGGATTTACAAATATATGACGATACAGTTTTATAAATGGCATTTATTGCTAGTTAATATATGCCATTTGTTAAAGTGGAGTACCGTGGATTCCAAACCGATCTTTCCGCCTGCCTAAATAAGCGGTTAATGTATGGATTAATAAATACCGGGCCTGACGCTTACTATGCCCAATCCCCCTACGGGGAATTGGGCCGCACGGGTCTACTACTGGCGCCTTCTGATGGCCAAGAGCTGTTCTTGCGTTATACGGAGCACAGACATAGTGTGGATAACTCATAGCTTCCAAGCCTCCGTACCACGCCAACGAGGTGTCTGTTGATCCATTGGTTATTTGCGGCCGACATTATTCCACGGTGGGTTAGACACAATACAGGCGTAATAGCGATCACACCACACCACAGGTAGGAGGTGCATATACCTTCGGCTAAAACGAGGTACTGATGTACTGATGTTAAGCCCATACTTTTGAATGGAGGATATAGTTGGCGGCAGTCGCTAGCCAGCCAAGTCCCAAGCACCAGTGTCTAGAGGTAGGTAAAGCTCCCTGGACTCCGGGTGCGCTCTTAAGTCGATCGGAGAAAGGGCTTGCCTTAGAAGATCTTTTTGCTCATATATCAAAATAAGAGCAAACCGTTTCATCCAATCCTCGATGGTCTAACGGTAATGATTTCCGCTTGTCATTACAACAGTAATTCAAGCGCGGGAGACCTGGGTTCGACTCCCAGTCGGGGAGTTTTTTTTTTGATTAGATTTAATCTCGGATCCATTGGACACTAGGTGGAACCGGGGCGTAGAAAATGGCGCTCCATGGGTTGTGCGGCAGGCACTGCAGTAGCAGAGGCGGACCTTTAGCGGGAGGGTGAGGGAGGTTGCTGTTAGGATTCTGTCAGCCATTCCGAACTTATTCAATGGTAGGTGAGGAAAATTCATATACAAGATGATAGTTGAGAGTGACGAGTGACGTGATATTTCTATGTGGGGAGATCGACATGTAGACTGCACGTATTTACATCAATGATTAAGATGGAAAGTACATGTCCGCCAATGACATTGATCCAACGCAGAATTTATGTAACCTGCAGAGTATACTAGGTAGTGGCGTATCCCGGCGCTATTGAACTCAGCTGAACTCCTGTCATTGTGATACTAAGACAGTTTTCATCTTGAAACCCGTCTGATCATCTCTCATCACTAACACTAATCGACGGTCACAATAGTCAGTTAATTTGAAGTGTAAATGGAGCCGACTTTACTGTTTGACGCCTAGCTCGGGCCATAACACCATCAATAGAGATGCCTTCTAACTCCGACCTTTCCTTAGGTCCTGGCCAGGCTTAGTCATGGTATTTTATATTTAGTTAGTTAGTTACCTAGGTACCTACTTGTTTAGGTAAGAATCTGAGACATCTGGGATTTAGCCCATAAATGATGCTTCTAGCGTGGAGTGCGACACCAGGACAGTTGGGGGCCAAAGGGTAATCCAAGCCAGCCGTTCATCCCGCGTCAATCCTCCGGAACCAACCCTCCAACAACTGCCTACCTGCCCACCAAGATGAAGTCTCAGTTGCCAGCGCTCTTATCCCTCACGTTACCCTTGGCCGCCAACGCCTATTCCTATATAGGCTGTTACAGCGATCCGGGCAGCCTGATTGACCAGGGCAGCTACACCTACCAGTCTGATGCATATTGCATGGAGGTGTGCTCCAAACAGCAAAAGCCTGTCATGGCGATGACCGCCGGCAACAAATGCTTCTGCGGTGACGAGATGCCTCCATCTAGCGCATCGGTGCCGAAATCGAAATGCAATGTTGCGTGCGCTGGATACCCAGCTGCGATGTGTAAGTTTCTACATCGCGTCCCTTGACTGCGTATAGGTCTATCCTACTCACATATTGTACAACAACAGGTGGCAGCAACGGTGCATGGTCAGTGTATGCAGATGGTCCGCAAAGGTCCGGGTCCAACAGCTCTTCCATAACTACTACCCGTGCTTCGACTTCCGTGACATCAGGCTCAACCAGTGTAACCAATACTAAGTCGGCTACTGCCACCATGAAGGCTTCCACCGCGAGTGTGTCGTCGGGCAGTGCTTCTCCTACCACGTCTACCTCTGGTGCCACTCGGAGATACGGATTCTTCTAAGTACATGGGTCGTTTAAGGCTTCGGCGTTTTCTTTGGTCGTATGTATATATCTAACACCGCTGAATCTATCGGCGAGAAAATGTGTTCAGATTACTTCCAGAGTCGCGAGGGATCTCTTACAGCCCCGAGGAAGGGAAGGGTGCCCAATATTGTATAGCAAGGCTCTTTAGAACATCGGCGGTAGGGTGAGGTCTAGTAGGCCTAAAAAATTTCTTGTTTGGGTAGCCCTGATACATGCCTCACAAGTAGTACATCTATTTTATGGGTCCACGGGCACAGACATGATTGAACTGGTTTCATTAAACGCGTTTGCAACCGAGTCCTTCATCTGCTAGAGGCGCAACGATCGGCAGTATTTCGGGCCTGCAAATAGGACCAAGCATAGACGACGGAAAAGAGCGACCACGAAGAATTTGATTCTTTGATTTTTCCAGCGAAGGCAAAGACAAAAACGAAAACTCCCCGACTGGGAGTCGAACCCAGGTCTCCCGCGCTTGAATTACTGTTGTAATGACAAGCGGAAATCATTACCGTTAGACCATCGAGGATTTGTGGAAGCAATATCTTTTATTGGACATATGAATCAGAACAACCTACATGGACCCTGTGACTTGGCAACTGCTTTGTTATTGTTATCATCCCCCTTCTCAACCGCACGGTGCAGACGATGGGCTGGGTCGGAGTCGCCACGCTGATTGCGACCGCCTGTTATCTACTCTCTCGTTTCCCTCCTTCCATATTGCCCCCGGACCCGGTTCCTCCATCAGCGCCGGTGGAACCGCCTTCCGCTGAGCCGCGACGCTTTACCGTGACCAAGGGTGCGACATCCAACAGCGCCAAAAGCGCTTCAAATACGCTGAAGGAGATACCGAAAGCATTAGCATCAAATGCGCCCGCTCTAGAGGTCCCAACCCTGAATCTGGGGAGCGAGAGCAATGCCGAGTCATCCTCTGAAGCACCGGCTATCCAGAGCGGATCAGCGAGTCCCGCCGCCTCAAATACGACCCATTCCCACTCTCGCGACCGCTTCGGCACCCAAGGGCGTCAAGAATCTCCTCCCTCCAGACATCCTCATGCCACCACCACCACCACCGTAGCAGCCCTCGTCTAGCGGAAGTAGCTCGTCGCTGATGCCTCCTCCGCCGCTGCCCCCGCAAGCCTACCCTCCTTGTCTAAAATTCCCCACGGGCAGCAACACGGCGCTCCGACTGCTGCCCGCGACCCCCTCCGTCAAGCCGGCGAACAAGGCGTCGAAGCGGACGGTGCTCGAACCGGGCTTCTCGCCGCTGGATTGCGCGGCGCTGACGGCGAACCCAAGCACAACCTGCGCGGCGCGAACGTGCTGCCGCGCCCCATCCGCGTAATGCCGTCGATGCTCAAGGCGCAGAACTGCCGCAAGGGCACCGACGCCTGGACCTCGTACCAGGGTAGCTTGCGGATAGTTGGGTCCAACTCGGGTCTTTTTTATTTGTTTCCACAGTCACAGTGAAATTCTAAAATCGGATTACATAATAATATCAAGTCCTCGATGGTCTAACGGTAATGATTTCCGCTTGTCATTACAACAGTAATTCAAGCGCGGGAGACCTGGGTTCGACTCCCAGTCGGGGAGTTTTTTTTTTTTTTTTTTTTTTTTTCGC